CCCCAAAACCCCAAAACCCCATTAAAATGATTTTGAAAAAAAAGATTGATGAGATTAAAATTGATTAGATCATAATAGAATTTCATTTGTTTTTGTCAAATAAATGCCAAAAGCCTTTTTCTTTTTTCTTTTGAGTTGTTGGAGGAGTAAACTTATCCATACATCTGACATTCACATCATCAGTTATCATTTTTGAATTCATATAAGTCAAGAAGTCATCATATTTGCAAAGGATTGATCCAGATTAAGCCTACATATTATTGTTGACACATGTATCAAATTTAATTGGGACTCCATTATGTCTCATATGCATCTCAAAGCAAGAATGACTCTTTGGATTCGCTTTCAAACAATCAGTGTCATAAAATAATTCGAAGTAGATGGTTGAGGTATAGGTTGCATCAATATACTCATGTCCTTGAGGATTGAGCCAATCAATTATGTTGACTATTTAATCATCGTGACCAGAGTAAATCATATATCTGAGCTAATCTGGATTATCATTACCGTTTATCAAGTCATTAAATCTATCAGCCATAGCTTTTAGTGGCTTTCTGAAAAATTTAGTTCCATATAACTTCTTAGCTTAATCGTTTAGACCTTTTGAAAGTACTATTCTTTGAGATTACCTCATGTAATACCATTCCTCTACTGAGAATTTGTATCTATTAGGATCCCCTTCAAAAGACTCTGCGTGAATAATGTCTCCATAGTAATAGTATTTCAAGTAGTCCATGTTTTTTATGTCATCTGCTGATAGGTTGAAAGCTTTACCGACACTTTCTCTCATAAATGGAAGTACATACTTTCCTTCTTAAGTGAACTCACTTGGTGTTTTATAGTAATAGTTAAAGCAGTCTCTAGTGAAGGGACAAGTTTTCTAAGATACGTCATCTTCTAAAGGTAATTCATAATAATTGTATACTGGAATAAATGTATATCCATCTACTAATGATCCTAACCTTTCAATATCCTCTTACTTGCTTGATCTTGCTAATTTGGGTAAGCCTTTTCCAGATTTGAGAGATTAGTTTTCTCCTTCTGATAACTTGCTTTTTGTAAAAGAATGAGGAGGGTATAAGCCCATCATCTCTGAATATGAACTTTATATCGTTCTAAGGTAGTTTGTCGAAGTAATTAATATTTATTTTGGGTTGTAATCTTTGTCAATCAACCCATATTAATCAATGTATCTGTCTCTGTTTAATCTACCGAGTAGGTATCTCTATCTCATACCTTAGGCAGTAAGCATACCAGCTTTAACTTTGAAGAAGCCATCAGGCTCTTCTAAAAGGGGAGCACGAGCACCATGTCTAACTATTTCAAAAACGAATCCAAGTTTTTACTCAGCTAAGACCACGGAAATTGTGGATAATAGAGTTAAAACAGCAATCTTCATTAATTAATTATATTAAAAATCAAAATGATTCATTATATATTAGGAATTAGAAAATAATCTATTTATCTTATATTAATACAAATCTAAATATACTAATCCTGTCTACTAAACTATTTTTTGCTTGTGGGGTTTTGGGGTTTTGGGG